TGCTCTAAGCGGTCCTTGTCTTCAGAAGTAGAACCAAGTGGAGGGATCCTCACCACTGAATTTCAGATTCAAGGTATTGAAAATAAATTTTTTTCAAGCATTTTACTTTTAATAAGATAGAATAACATACAAAAATAGTACAACTGGCATTTTTAATCACTGTTATCTTGATTTGTTTACAGGAAGCGAATCATCAAATAATGAGCACACAACAGGTGATGATATGAACAATAACTAACTGAAATGTTTTACTGTATAAAATCTACTCAGAAGTTATTTCCAGTTATGAACCTAAAGCAAAGTTTAAAGAAAGCAAACATTTGTCTCTCTGTATAATTTAAAAAAGAGCAGCTGTTATTGTTTGGAATCAATAACAAGTAGAAATCTTTCCCTTTTTCTACTTTCTGTTGCTGCTGCTTTAATAATGGGTTGGATGGAGGTTTTTACAATTTAAAAGGGATTAAGTTTAATATAAACTGATGACATTCTCAGCAAATCATCAATTACAGTAAGACCTAAACTGAGATTCCGATGGATTTCAAGGGAAAATTAAGTCAGCATTACTTGCAACATAAATAAACCTATTTTTTGAAATGCTGTTTTTTTTTTTTTTTTTTTTTTTTCAGAAAAGAACATAAACACATTATAAAAGATGTTAATCTTTAATATTTTGTCTTAAAATGTTTTTCCCCCCAGCTGATTATTGATTGTTTCTCATTTTCCACTTCAGGGACCTTTCTTCTCATCCTGCTCCTGGTCGTGATGAACATTGGTTTGAACTAGAAAATACTTAAAAAGTTAAAAACAATTTTTAAAAGAAACCTTGTTAAACACAAATCTTGCTACACACACTACTAACGTGTGTACAACTGCAGAGGGAAGTGTCACCCAGGACTCAGGGAGTGCATGAATACCTTCCCAAGGTAAAATGAATTGCTGTATTAAGAAAATCTGGTAAATCTTAAAAAAGAAAAAAGAAAGTCAACTTTTAATGACTCAATAAAAATACTCCTTTCCTTTAAGTCAAAATCTTTATTGTTTTTCATTGTTGACAGCAAATAATTACAGTTTAGACACAAGAATATAACCAAATCAAGAACATAAATGAGGTAGATAACCATGTCAACATGGATTGAGAACAGAAATGCTGAAGGATTACACAAAAAAAAAACACATTATGCTTTTATAGAGTAAAATCTTTAATATAGAGCAGAAAAGCTTTTAGTAGCATTTTTAATATTGTACCTTGTTGAGGTATTTATCTCAAAAGTTTTTTTTTATGTCATTTTGTGAAGTGATGTCTTCACCCCCTGTATTTCTATTTTCAAAATAAACAGACAGATTTAGTTTTTTCACAGTGAATATTAAATGTTAAAGAGGTTTTATGTCTGCTGCTGTTCAGAAATATGTGCATGTTGCTTTCCAAAAGGTGGAAAGATTGGAAACGATAGTCATTTTTATCAAAAATAAACTCTTCCACACAAACTAAGGTGTTTTTTCTGATTCTGATGGCTTGTCTGAATTTGTAGACCAATCGTATCTGAAATCCTTCTATTTCAATTACACCTTAAGAATCATATGAATCTACATCACATGATTAAAATGCATTGGCAGACTGCCCTCTGAGAAGAATAAATGTATATTTGCTCCAAAATAATAAAATAATATTTAAAGTAGTAATAACCTGCTATTGTATGGAAAAGGATTAGGGCCACTGAAAAAGTTAACTGATTTTTAGTTTTTATTATAGTACAATGTTAGGCTTAGACTAAGACAGATTTATTTGTCATTTTGTTTACAAAAGTGTAAAACAAAATGAGATTTCGTTTGGAACAGCTCTCTGGACAATTTCAGCTTTTTTAAAAGTGCAGCCTTGGAAAATGCTAAAAAATATATATAAAAACAGGAATATAAACATATGACTGTAAATTTACAGTTCTAACATTTTCATTTTATGTTATTATTTTTTTTTATATAATGACAACTTATTGTATGATAACTTATAATATGAGAAAAAAGTCTGAATTCTCTCAGAATTCAGACTTTTATCTCAGAATTCTGACTTTTTTCCCATATTAAACTGTAAGAAAATTTAAAAATCATTTTTCTTTTTTTCAGTGGCCCTAATCCTCTTCCGTATTATTGTATTTATACAATTGCTTAGAAATTGTATTTATATTTAATGCTTAATTAAATTTAGGAAAAGAAACAAAAATGAATACAACCCTTTCAGAGAAATTAAAACCCCATAAATTTTACTCTTGAAAGAATCAGTGACCAAATAGTTCTTGTTGTACTAAGTACATGGGATAGTCACTTCTTGACGATGTGTTACAGATGATTTCATTTTCAATGCAGCACCTAAACATGCACCGTAGTCATCGAGGATCTGGGCTGGATCATTTGGGACTTTGTGACAGATGATCTGGTTACTCCTTGTTTCTTTGACATAGAGAAACAACAAAAGATGAAAGCACAAAACTTTCAGGAAAATTTGCATAATGTACTGATGGTGTCATGCAAAAGTTTTCATTTATAGAATAACAGACAATCTCGCATTACAAAAAAAGTTAAAGTAAATAAAATCTGTGGTGGACTGTATTTACCAGTGGCTCAAATTAGCTGTTACATGATGCAAGAAAACAGAAGAACAAAATCTTTTGCACAGCGACATTGACTTATCATCATATCATAACAACAGTAAACGTTTGTTAACAAGAAGAGAAAAATATCTGAAATCAAACTAAACGTTTAATTTTGAAAGCAAATTATTGAATATTAAACTGGGAAACAAAAATTTTGAAAAAATTCTAACTTCTGTCTAATAGTCAGAATGTGTGTGTGTGTTTTTTTTAAGTTTAACACAGAAGGGATTTTGTGAAAAATGCAGAGTTTTAGATGTAGCCTGTTCAGACAGACAGACAGCACAGAAAGCAGGCCCATAATGCACCAGTGCTTATCTGTAACCATGACAGTCAAGATTGCAGCTGCAACAGAGCAATGTTTTAATGGTGCCCTGTATAATGTCTCAGAAGTTAAAGTTTCGACATCTGTAGTTATCTGATTTGTTCTGTTTCCTTTGACTCTGTTAGTCCTGCCTTTGTAATCTAACTCTGCCTGCCAGTTTCCGTACTAATGTACCAGGCTGTTGTGGGTGTGCTCTCATGTCATTAAATGCTAAAGATAAAATAGATCTAATTTTTACTACCTTAAGTTCTGTTAAGGTGTGTCAACATTTGGAAAGAAAAAAATCATACAGTACATTTTGCAAGATCTGGAGCTGAGAAAACTGGACTAAAAAAATTGTTTTATAACAACATAACATTTAAAATATATTATCATGTGGATTTTTCTTTCTACCATCTTTATTTTTTTTAATAAACAGGGGACTGTTTTATACTTTACTTGTTTGCGTTCCACCTACCTCTGTCTGCACCTTCAGACTGTCACCTTGTAATGAGCTGAGGGAACTGAGATTAGGATTAAATCCTGTTTTTTTTAGTAGCCAGTAGGTCTTCTGGACACCCTTACCCTGTTAAAAATATATATATTCTGGTCAGAGTATCTCCCAAATAAAAGACTCCATATCTTTGAAAATCTCAAGAGAAATCACCTTAATTTCGATGTCCCCTCTTTCTTTCAACTCAAATGATCCAGCTTGGATCAGAATGTCAGCTGTTGACTGAGATATATGGATCCTTAGCGCTGTTTAAAAAAAAGGTTCATGTTACTAAACTGGAAATCAACAAAACTAAATACCGGTAAAGGAAAATACACCTGTGTGTCATTAAGTTAGAATTAATACTGATTCAAAAATAAATCGCTGAGATTAAACCATTAACATCATGAAACTAGTTATCTGGTGACAAAGGTGGTAAAAGTTAATTTGTCCACAGAAAGAACCAACCTTTATATGATCGGAGGATTAAGGTATATATCTCAGAGAGAATGGCGTCATTTCAATCTTGTAAAGATTTAGATTGATGTGAATGTAGAGGATAAAGTTCCGATAACAACTTTCAGTCACACATTCTGGTCTGCCGGCTTCCGTAGCGTCGTGAACACGCATGTGCGCGCTTTCAGGAAATCCTATACACTACTGTTTATGCTCTAAAAACATTCTAAATGACTTCGTTTCGAGTAAATTCTGGATGCTACCCACTCAGGACACTTGGAATACATTGGACGAGCAGTATGGAGGAATATTGACACGTTTTTGTTGACTTTTATGGACCTTTCTGTCTCGGGCACCATAGACCTCCATTATTTGAATGTCAGCAGACAGCAAGAAGCCTCCCAGATCTCCAGATGCATTTGAGATATCAAAAAAGTACTCCAGAGTGTTGTTCAGCATGGGGGTGAGTAGAAAATGAAGGCTAATCATGTTTTGGGTGTACTATTCCTTTAGGAGAACATTTCTCTTTCTTTTAAGAGTGAAGTAATTATATTGTAGTTTTTTGTCCCAGCATCTTGTGAATAAAATTATTTACACACTAAAGGCTGGTCAGAATTTGTAAATTAAACGACATGGTATCTCGGGCGTGCTTTGGTTAGTGGTTAGGGAACGCGACCCGTGTACGGAGGCCTTAGACCTCGACGTGGCCGACCCAGGTTCGATTCCGACCTTTTCCGCATGTCCCTCCCCCTCTCTCATAACCTTCTTTCCTGTCAGCCTACTGTCCAAAAAAACAAAAAAAAAACAACAGCATGGTGTCAGTAAGAACCTCCTGAAAAAAGATTCTACTTACGTAAACTGTTACTCTCCATGCGTGAGGCTGTATTTACTGTATCACCAAAGAGGCAGTAGCGAGGCATAGTGGTCCCCACCACTCCAGCAACCACTGGGCCTGTAGGAGCCACACCAGATCAGTTGGACTGGGCAGGAAAAATTTTCCTTTACAAACTACTCAAACAACTTATGGTTCTATTATTTTACAATTTAAAGTCTTTACAAAAACTTTACAAAAACTCTGAAGCATATCGAAACATTCTCAAATAGTCAGTTTACATTTAAAATACCAAGCGGGTGAAAAATAGTTCACTTTATTATATAGACAAATATGTTAAAAGGCATTGCAAAAACTTTTGTTTCCTTTATAGTTTTTCACATTTTTGTTAAACTGTAAAAAAACAAAACAAAAACAAAAAATAAGTCAAAAGTACTTTTAATGTGATTAAAAGAAGAGCAATGTAATTGAAGAACACTGACAAGTTGTAAATAAATTCAATCTGGAAGACTCTTATCAGCTTCACCTGAACCACCTGCGATGTCCCTCGTCCAGTTTCAGCCAGTTATCTCAGGACCGCACCTCCTACACAACCAATCATCTTTCAAGATATCCTTCATTTAGCTCCTGACCTAGCTTCTCTCTCCCGCACGCAAGCAAACTACTTTCACCTCATTCTCAGACTATTCTCAGTCCCACTAACCCTCTGGGATGACTCATTCAAGTGAATGTTGATTTAAAGCACCAAAGTCTTCTAGTGGGGCCAGAGTGCCAAATAATTTATTTCATTTATGTCAATATGTAGGGAGCCCCTCTGATGACATGGTCAAAAAAAATGTTTAATTGTGGCCACGAAGTAGTATTTCGTGCGCACAAAGTAGTATTTTGTGGCCACGCAATAAGTTTAACGTGCGCACGAAATACTTATTAATAATATCAATAAATCCGCCCCTGTTTTCAGGCTTATGTTAAGTGTAATGACTTATCTTGGACAGGCTGCTATGTAAACGGGCTAGTCCTTCGTTTAACTATGCTGCGGTTGTTTACACTACGCCTTTTCCACCAAAAATGGCGTCTTAGCAACAAATGTTACGTGACTGGCGGAGACCGACTGGGTAAGCAAATCGAGCGCGTCTTAAACCTTAGAGAAGGCGCGCTCGATTTGCTTACCCAGTTGTCCAGGAATGATATTAATATTATTAATAAGTATTTCGCGCGCAAGTTAAACTTATTGCGTGGCCACGAAGTAGTATTTCGTGCGCACGTTATACTTATTGCGTGGCCACAAAATACTACTTCGTTTGCATGAAATACTATTTCGTGGCCACAATTAAAACATTTTTTTGACCATGTCATCAGAGGGGCTCCGTAAATATGTGTATGTCTGCTTCTGTCTCCTTGAGCCCCAGTCGGCCTCAACAGATGGCGGCTCACACTAAGCCTGGTTCTGCTTGAGGTTTCTTCCTGTTAGATGTGATTTTTCATCTCCACTGTCGCTGCAAGCATGCTTGGTGTGAGGTATAACAGACAGTCAACGAGTCCATGCAATCAGCTAGTTCTCCTTAGAAAATATTTGATAAATCTATCCGTGTTACCTCTATTCATAAATTTAATATTAAGCTCCTCTAATGGCACTCTTTCTCTCCAGGTTAACTATTTTTAGGCTAAATATAAAAGCCCACCATGTATAGATTTGAACTTAACAAATATTCAAATGTTAAAAATTATTAGTGCAGTCACAGAAATGACACCTAAATTGAGTCCTTTCTCACTCCACCAGTGCTTACCAGAGTGTATGCCGATGCGTATCGCAAGGATTTCGTCTGGTTTATGAGGGATTCTGAAGACCTGAATGGCACTGAGGAAGTGTAGCGCCATCGTGCATATTTCCAAAGCATGCTTGTTGCCATTGCTGATAGGAAGTCCACTGGCTACCATGTAAGCATCACCAATGGTTTCTACCTGATGAAGTCCAACAGATGACATTTATTAAAAAAACATACAACAGCCCAGTTAATCCAGAAGTGTACATCAGGCAAGGTTTGTCTGAATTAATAAATATTTATCTGGTTGTTGTTAAGCTTTAATTGGTAAATGAGTTAAACGTTGCTAGCTAACTTTAAGTAATAATAGCAGTGCTTTTCTTTTTTAAGTTTATTTGTTGTTTTATTTTTTGTTGCTGCATAAATCTTAGGCATAAATGACCTTTCTCAGTTTTGTTGGTTCAGCTTTTCTGTCTGACCTAATTGCTAATTTTAAAATAACAACTGGATAAAAAATCGTCACAGTTTTATATGCTGTTTTGAACAACTTAGAGCCATAATTTTTTTTGTGCAAATTTCCAGTTAATCCACACTCTATTATTGACATTTTCCATTCTTTATACCAATTTGTGTACCGGTATTTATATGTTTCTGTTTATATCTCACTAATAAATGCTTTTTCCGTTTTATTCCATTCTATTTTATTCGATCCCATCTTAGCTTCATGCTGAGTTAATGTGTTCCTAAAGTCTAAATATATTATTACCAATTAGAGCTGAGTGAATGGTTCTTACTTTGTAGACGTCATACATCTTTATGATGTCGTCAAACAGACTGTAGAGCTCGTTGAGGAACGTTACCACTTCCATTGCTGTGCTGGAAGAACACATGGAAGTAAAGCCCACAATGTCGGAGAAGAAGATGGTCACCATATCATAGCTTTGTGGCTCCACCGACTTCCCCGACATCAGCTGGTCTGCGATGTATCTATATGGGAAGATACATGAATAGACTTGATGAGGCTGACTGGACTGATTAAAAAAGATCAATATAAAAAGATCGGATGGTTTTGTATTTGGTACTTTGGCAACATGCTGGAGAGAAGATTGTCTGCTCTGGCTTTCTCTGCTGTGAGCTGGTTGGTCCGCTCCTCCACCACCTCCTCATGGTGATTTGCATACTTCTCCAACTTGTCCACCATGTTATCAAGAATATTTGCATGACTACAAAAGACAATATCACAATGAAAATGTTTTTTTCAGAAAGCCCGATAAAATTTCAACCCCTGAGCATGATGCTTCAATCATCAGATTTAACTTTTTATGTTGTTCTTTTGCGATATGTTCATAAAGTCCACCCCTGAATTCATCAAACCAGAATATAGTATGTTCTTTTTCAATGTTTAAGCTGATTTTATTCAGATGTAGATGTTTTCTTTTCTATCTAGTTCTATATGAATTATGGGGAAACATCCGATCAAAAAGATTCAATATTTTTCCGTAGAGTCTAACAAAAGATATCTCATTGGCCCCCACAATAGCCAAAATGGGACGGGGGACCATTATGATAATGGTTTAAATACAATTATGCATTTCAGTTATATTTTTGCATATCATTCCCATAATTATGTAAAGAAAAACGTGAATTTTACTTGGTAGTGGGAGCCTAAAAATACAATGAAATATATTTTGAATTATTTATTGTTTGCAAGACTGAAAAAAAGTTAATACAATTCATTTTTTTCTATTTAAATGTAATTATATTACAGTCTGTAGAAAAATAAATTAAATTTAAAATAAAAGGTCTTTTATGATTTACAGTCATTTGAACATAATTGTGTATTGAATAAGATGCCAGGAACAATAATTAAAATAATTAACAGTAATATTGGTAAATAAAATCACCAGCAGCTGTTAAACTAAGTAAAATAGGCTCACATAAAAAATAAAACTTCACTTGGTAGGTTGTATTATGTGAACTCCATCTAATAGGGCCACAAGTAAACAATCCACTGTTGATATTTAAAGCCAGGCGGCTGCTGTTGCTCTGCAAGCGTCTGTTCAGAACATGCGTTGCTTTTTGAGTAGAGCAGTTTGGTTAATGTTTCCATGTAAAGATTAACTAAAACATCAGGGAAATGTATAAATCCAGGGTTTCCTTCAGAGTTTATAATGGGGAGAAAAATTAGCTAGCTTATAAACTGTGGACAAAGTTCGGAATGGACAACAGATCAATGTTCGAAAAACTTTCTATCACATGACTCACTACCAGACGCACCAGACTGTGATAGAATTTTTTCTCCACCTCCACTCTGTCTCTGAAAAAGTTGTCTGCTTTGCTGCCCTTTGCTCCCCTTTTTGTCCTGCATATAATGCTTTTTTTTGTTTTTATCATCCAGACTGATATTTTGCAAAGTGAGATAATTTTGATCTTTTGTAATCTCTCTGCTATCTATATGCGAATATCTAGAAATTCTCACTTGGACTAATCTCCTTTCATTAATGATTGATTAGACTTCCTATAATTAAGGGCAGATGTGCACCCAAGATAACCAAAAACTAACAGATTCAATAACGTAATGAAAGGGGTCAGATTTATCCATCCAGATTATAATTTTATTATTAATATTTTAACAAACTTACATTTTTTTTTATTTTTGAGTTAAATAATATGTCACTATAAAGGTTGACAAAAGGTCTGAAACTACTTGTAGTGGTTTAAATTTTTATATAACTACAGCTTTCCCGTTTTACAAGTGTACATAGACATGTTATTTGCACACTTTGTGCCTGTTCAGAATCAGAATAAGAAAAATCTTTATCAGCAAGTAGAGTTTTAGATACACAGAAGCTTATGTTTGGCACCTTATCAGCAATTATAGCTAATATTGTTTTAAAGATTTTAATAGTTAAAAAAAAACAACTGTAAACATACCTCTCTGGACTTATATCTCTCAGCCTCCTGCGAATTGATGCAAAAGGTGGTCGGTGGTCAGGGTTTTCACTCCAACAGGCTCTGAGCAGCGCATTCACCTTCTCATCACACAGCTGCTCGCACAACACTGGTCTAAGAGGTTCCCCTTGAAATGGTATCCGCAGCTGCATTATAATTTCTTGAAACATACAAGGTTAAAACAACTTCAATGGAAAAAGAAAATGACCAGAAAATAATTTCTATATTTGTGATTTTAGATTTTTTCCTAATTTCTAACAATCTCAATTTCCTAATAAGATGTATCGTTATTTAGAGTTGAAAGTGGGTTAGCTTGAGGACAAAACATTTTACTTTTTGTAATAATACACATAAAAAAATTATTGTTATATCCATTATTTTGCACAGGACTGTCATTGAAAATGTTTACAAAAACAACAATGGATCGTGGGTTATTACCAGACGACCATACCAGACAAAACCATCACCAAAATAAACGAAAGGGAGAAATGTTATATTTATCCCCTCTTATCTTCAATTCAATTCATTTAACATGCATCAGGGTAGCGGTTGCTGGGCAATATGCATCCTAACCTATCTTGAATTTACACACTACTGGCTGAAACTTATATTAGTTCGATAAAATTTTTAGGGCAAGCTTTAAGTTCTAATGAAGTCTCTTATTTTAGTTCTCCAAAGAAACCTGCTGATTGTGGAAAGTAGTTGATTAATTCTAGGAAGTGGGCTACAGATTAACAGTTGTGAGTTCTTCAACAGTTTTGGAGGTATTATGTATTTCTTTTTTTCAGGTTTTATTTGCTATTAGCTCTAATTCACAGACCTTTGGGGTCCAGGTTGATGTCTTGATACGGACCACCTTTAGAGTTATACATAAGCTCCCACATGATGATGGCAAAGCTATAGATGTCTCCTTTGGGTGTCCCATTACATGGTAGTCCAACCTGTCTCAGAAGTTCAGGGGCTGTCCAGTACAGATCTAAGAAAAAGTCCTATTATCTTAAGAACAATACAAAGATTTGTTATCCTATCATATTTTAAGTCTGAGTTCAGGTCAGTTTTACCTTTATAATCCGGACTTTCCATCAGGCTGAGCTTGTTTTTTCCTCCATATTTAAACTCCCATAATCCAAAACCAGAGAGTTTGATTTGTAGTCTGCTGTCCACCAGACATGTGCTGGGCTTCAGGTTCCCATGAAATTTAAGTTTGCTGTGGTGAATGAAGTCCATTCCCTGGGTCACAGCAATATTTCAGTAGTGAAAAAAATAGAATAAAATAATAGGACTTAAAAAGCATTCACAAGAAATAAGTTTAATGTAATAAATTAATTCATTTCAAATATATGACATATTAGACACTTTTGTCTGAATATATATCTGCATATTTGCTGTCCTTTTTTTTGATTTTCCCTCAGCTAGAATTACCGTCATTTTTTATTTTTTTTGCTTATTTGTCAAACTTGCTTATGCCAGATCATGAAACAAGGCACTTTAACCTGGGTATTTACTCAGGTTAACTTTGTGTAAAGTTCAAATTTATTTTGAATGATATAAATAACTTAGGTGTGGAATTAATTTATCGCTGTTGGGATCTGGAGGCTTGTCCACTTTCTCCACCAGAGGGCGCCTGAGATCTTCCTCCTGAGGGCATGAGCGTGCTTCTACACACCTGTTTCCTGTCTGCTCATCAGAGGACCTATTTAAGGAGGAGGAGGCTGACACTTCCCTGCCAGAGTGTTTGCCAGTATTGGTACAGCAAAACCTGAGCCAGCATATTTGATCTGTAACCCTGATTTTGTGAACCAACCTGATCTAGTATTCTTCTGCCTCACAGATCCTGACTTATCTGGAAATCTGTAATCCTGGAGAAAGTAATCTCTGTCTGGAATCTGCCTGCCTGCACTCCGTCTCAGTCTCTGCCTCTGCCTCTGCCTCTGCCTCTGCCCTCTGCCTGCCGACTAGCCTCTGGAACCACAAGGTTCCCCTCCTGCCGATCAGAATCCTCTCTGAGCAGGTATTTATCCTCGTCATCTATAAACTGCAAGTTTTCTGGATCAACTCTAACTGCTCTGTCCTCCTCAGTGGCTTCCCTCCCATGACCAGTCCGAAGAACCAAGAACCAGTGCATTCATTAACTTGTGAACATTGTTCAATAAATCATTTAACTTTTTCTCTGTTTCTAAGAGTGATTACTGCATGTGGGTTAGACGCCTAGAACCCAAAATGACAATCACAGGACTCTAGAAACTTAAAAAAAAAGATACTTACATTAACAATGTCATAAGCAAACGAGAGTTTAAACATCCATTCCAGATCAATATCGGAAGCTCCAAAAACATCCTTTAAAAATAAAATAAAACCAAGTTAACATGCACACATATGCATGTATTTATGTTTTGTTTATTTATTAGACATGAAGAAAATACGATTTTCTATTTACCTTCAGGCTTCCTTTCTTGCAGTACTGCGTGACAAGGCATATGTTTGGTGGCTCAATGCACACACCAAAGAACTGCACCAGGTTTTCATGTTTCATCTCCTTCATCTTTCTTAAGAGGTTTAAAATAATTAGTGACAGACTAGCTACTGTTTTCTTTGTGTACTTAGAAAGTATGTTACCTGCTTGTATTTCTCTATAAATGTAGAAGATATATAATATAATAATAATGTAGTCTTAAGTTTTACAACTAGCATATTTGTAAAAGACATTTGTGATTATTTTTTAATGTCTATTTATATTTTCCTTTATTTTACACTAATAAATCTTACTGCACAATAGTTACAAAGAAATCCAAAAAACATAATGAACTTTACCAGATTAAACTCGACAATAACTGAAGGTTTCTGGAAATTACAGTTTATTGGGTTCTTGATGTACTTGATGGCCACTTGATTTCCCTGTATGAACAGAAATCATTTATGTCAGCCAGGAAGGGAAATTAAATAACATTAAATTAGATTAAATTAAATTCCCACATTAATTTAAAGACTCATTCTAATTAAGTAGAATTATTTACTCTACTTGTGGTCAAACAATGTTTAATTTTTTAAAATGCATTTATATGGGAGCAATATTGTTGCAAAATTATTTGCAAATGTGCGTGGAGAGTTGTGTGCAAATAATTAGCAAATCATTTTGCTACATTTTGCTCCCATACATTTATTTATCTTCTGAAAAAGAATGTTTCACCTGGTAGAGGCCTATGGTTGTATAAATGTGCTCTCTCCCTGTTTTGTCCTTCAGGTCGTAACTGTGGCTGGAGAAGGTGCTCTGACAGCTGCTCCCAGTGTGACTACCGGTGGAGCTATGAGATATACCCGGGTTTCCCTGGATGAAATATGGAAAAAAAAACTGGGTAAAGATATGCAAGCAACCAAACTAGAGAGTGAACAATAATCACTGACATATTCCAGCTCTTTTTATTGTTTAATCTGATTGCTCGTACTGAAGGCTCCCTGATGATGGTGATGTCGTTGTAATTGATTATCCACCAATTGGAGTCATCCAGCCTCGTCTGGAGCCGAAACTTTTGAAACATGAGGACCCCGATCCACAAAACCGCCACTACGCCGATGAGGGGGAAGGTCACAAGGACAGCCAACAGTGCAATTTCTGTGTCTCATAGAAATAACAATAGTGATTATACCGCTGAAAGATCAGATGCAATTGTATGTTAATCTTTTGTCTGTCTCAGTTCTAAGTTGTTCTTTACCATTTGTCAGCCATTCGCAGTTCTCATCATTGAAACCACATTCTGGTATATCAGAAGGAGGCTTTCCTTTCGGCCAAATCACAGAAGCAAACATAGATGTAGGTCTGCAAGAGACAATGAAATACATCAGTATATATCAGTAAATCCTATGGTTTAACTGCACACTTTAGTAGAAGTTGGAATATGCAGTTAAGCTTTTTACTCAAATAAATGTGTAAAATTACTATTTTTACAACTATTTTGAAAGTATAAAAGTAAAAGTAATGCAGAAAAAATTTTGACAGATGCTTTAAAACTAATACTGGTTACTGCACTTTTTTTTCTGGATGATAATTTCCTTATACTTAATTTTAAACAGTGTTAAATCTAACTCTGCATCATCTTGAAATACTAAGTATTTTGATATGTGGCGAACAACAAGTTGGTGAAGTCCAACCAAAAAAATATGAATTGCCTAATTGAAAGAAATTATTTTGATGGTTTTTATTTTTTTTTTTAATGCTAAGAAATATGAGCTTAAATGAAACAAAGTCTATTTAAAATGTAATGAGCAAAAAGTAGAGATTATTGGCAAAAAAAATATAAAGAGTAGAAGTAAAAAGTTGTCTAAAAAATAACCACTTTAGTGAATAGACAGCCAAAATTTCTGGATTGATCTTTTATTTGTGGATTTGGTGGATCATCTAAAAAAGTGGTCCTCCTAATTGTCAATCATTCTGGTGATATGTTTACATAAGGCCGCCCTACATGCTCGTCCCAGTTAGCAATCTTTTTCCGCGCATGTGCACTTTCAGGCGTATATCTATATATTTCTTTCTGTTGACAATGCAAAAGGTCAAAGCATAAGAGCTGGAAGCAGGAGGTTGGAGCTACAGTTTGAAATATTCTGAAGCAGCTTATGTTTTGGGTTAGCACCATGACTTAATCCCTAACTTCATTATGTTTTACTTGAATCGTGTTTTTTGAATAATTGGAATAGGCTCCTACCTGACACTTTTACTTTGGCTTTCAAAATGCAGGATGGGTACAAACATGGTGTTGCCTCCTACACGCTGCAGGTCATAAATGGAGTAGTCCATAGATCTCTCACCTTCTTCATCAAAGTGAACAAGTCCAGAGGCCCCTGCAAATGATAAGGCATGGCTACATTACAAAGTATATAAGAACGGTGGATTTATGTTTCTCTCTCGTTAATAGCTAAACAGTCATGTTATATTACTATTTGCTGTCAAGGCTTGAAACATGATTGAAGGGTTGCAATGCAGGACAGCATCTGCTTTGACTGACTCAGAATCACACAGTGGCAAAGCCACTAAATTTTAAAAGAGGTGGAAAGGCAGGGACGAGTTCGCACTAAGGAGTAGTCGAAAACTGCCAGGCGCCAGAACCAGTTCAGGCTCACTTTACATTAAATGCACAGTAGCAACAGGAAAATTATGTTGCAAATACTCTATGCTATTTAAATGAAAAATGTGTAGTCCTGCATGTTCTATACATTAAAGGGGCTAAGAAGATCTCTGTCTCTAAATACATCTGAGATTCTGCATCAGGATCAGGATCTATATTGATATTAATTAATTACAGTATTTTTATTTTATGGTTAAAACGTTAAATTAAAACACTATCACTGCTCCGATCTCTGTTTTAAAGGGGAACTGCCTGCTCTGCAGGTGGTGAATTGTACTCAGCTGGTAGTGGTGGCCAATAATTGGCCTGGAATATATACAAGCGTTGTAGAAAACATCTCATTTTGAAAATGAAATGGGCTTATTGTCAATTAGTATCATTGGTTTATTTTAAAATTTGCTGTCAAATCTCCTACCATTAAATTTGTATAAGTTTGATTGAATGCACAAAAATATAACCATTTTTTTCACAATTGAAAAAAAGACTAAATTAAAGAAAATGGACATCCTCGTATGGATGTACAGACAGACACAGTGAGTAGCACTGCTGCCTTGCAGCAAGAAGGTTCTGGGTTCAATTCCCAGCCTGGAGTTTCTGCATGGAGTTTGCATGTTCTCCCTCTGCATGCGTGGGTTTTCTCCGGGTACTCTGGCTTTCTCCCACAGTCCAAAAACATGACTGTTATTTGGCTGCTTTAAATTCTCCTTGGGTGTGAATCTGTGCATCAATGGTTGTTTGACTCTGCGTTGCCTCTTGAGTCTTGTGTCCCTTTGACAGCTGGCGATAGGCACCAGCAACCCCAGCAGGGATAATTGTGGCAGATGGATGGACATCCTCTTATCCTCAAATGCAACTTATTGATCAGGAACCATTGATAACTATGATGGATCTGATGCGTCTGCTACTAAAGAAGATTTAATTATTGTAAAATGTGTGACTAATAAAACTATGGGAGGGAACCTAACTTTCTGTCAGAATTAGTTGAAAAGACAAATCAAAAACCTAATGTTAGAATTTAAAAAGTTGTTGGATATGATTTGGATTGTTATAACAGGAGCTTCATAGTAAATATATTTGAAAATGTAATTTTTCAGAAAACTAATTCAATTGTACATCTTTTTATGCATATAAACTGCATCAATAATTTGTTTCTATTAATTTTGATAATCATGATTTAGATGCAAAGTAATACCCATAGTTCATTTTCTCCAGAAAATCTGAATATGTAATAAAACTAGTAAAACAAGTTGTTTGTTTTTTATTACGGAAATGGTACGAACATGTGGAGGTCGGCTGACTGCACAGTTGTCAGCAGTCACTGAAGCTCCACAAGGACTTGTAATCCACTAAAGGTGATTCTTAAACAAGCTGGCGGAATAATTATGAAACAAGTCTACAAGAAAAGTATAATGAAATACTTGGTTTGCGATGGAGAGCGTTTTATAGTTACCATGAAAGCGAATCTTGTCTCTGTTTTTCAGTTTCTCCAGAAGCTGTCGGCCATCATGAGGATCTTTTCCTTCCTTCAGAACTTCCTTCAGTCCCATCACATAAAGAAGCACCGCATCATGGAGATATGCTGAATATGGGCTAACCTGAGATTTATCAAGAAAAACATGATTAAAATAGCCAGATTCAACAGATCAGACAATTGTTTACGTTTTTATCAGTCGTGTCTTTACAGCGTTCCAACCTCACTTTCAGATGTCAGGTTACTCCAGAAAGGATGTCCTTTCAGTTTTTGAAACACCTCTTTGAAGAAATCATAGTACTCATATCCTTCGTAGGATTTCTGGCCGATGACAAATGTCATGTCGAAAGCTCTTGTGTTGTCCTGTTTTACTCTGCTGTTCAGGGGCCCTTTCCACCAGTTATCCTGCTCAAAGGAAAAACAATTAGTGGAAAAACAGAGGATGAGTTATTTTTATCACACCAATAATTATCAATCATGTTCATACACGACATGTTCATGTTCATTTATGTGTCCTAACACACGTGCAAACATTTTTTATACGAGCAGAGCAGATCTTCAAAGAAGGTGCAAAGTTTTGTGCCTTTTTCAGTGAAAATATCGCAAAGATATCTGCCGTCCTTGATACAACAAAGGAGACATTGGTACAATGGCAAAGGAAGGAGAGAGAAGATTCTGAAGAGAATGACCAATCTCTTATTCTCTGCAATAGGGCTTTTTTATCTCCATGCATTCAAATAAGCCTTAAGCACAGTTATACATTCTCACCCGTTTTGGGGCATGCAAACTTTCTGTGGGGGTTGTAACAGTTGGAGATAGACTACTTATGTGGAGTGCTCTATGAGTAATGTTTAGTATTAGTATTATTATTTTTTTAAAATATTTTTCATCAATATAACCTCCAACTACCAGGGTTGCATTTCCAAATTCTCCCCAGTGGTGCACGACTTTACAGTAAATAAAGTGAATGTGATTGGTTGCAAGCAAGTTTGATTGTGGCCGGTTTGTCGGAAGCATCTTGCTAACCAGTTAGCAACTTAGTGCTAGTAGGTTACCAATGGGAATTTCCCATTGGGACACTGTTAAGGAGCGCTATGGACAGCAGAAACATGCAAGAGTAGGATAGTTTAGTGTCGGAGGTTGTGGATGAGTCTCCTCCGTCATCCATTTTTTATTTAGAGAAGGAAAGTCAGGACGAAAATGTTGTGAAAGAGGACGCCAGGGCGGCAGAAGCTTGGTTTGGTATAGAAGGCTTACAGCCGTACATGTTGGAGCCCTTGAATCGCAACACTGCCAGTTCTGTTAGCTCTACGCCTGCCAAAGACACAGACGTCCATCCCCGTGAACACTGGGACGCAACTCAATGGGAAAGGAAATTTTTCAGATTTCTTATTTCAACGTTACGTATATTAGCTGCGACATGAATCAAAATGCTATGACCAAAAAAATTTGATTGACAGATGACCGTTGATATATGATTGGCCGAATTTAGATGTACAAGCTGACGTATAAATAACTGGCCTGCATAAGATAACGAAGAAAAACAAAAAAAAAACCACAGAATTTAAGACAGGATTTTCTTTTTAAAAAGAAATTTTCTAACTTTTGGGAAAATATCGTCTGATAAAGGATACATTTATATACATGTTTAAGCCAGACTGATTTGACATTTAAATATGACTTCCCTATGACTTTAAGTATATTAACCAAAAACTGACATCAATATTACAGCAAAAAATATTTATTATAAAATACAATTAAAGAGGATTATTGCTCCATTAAGAATTTCTGTTTTAGGTGTTATACATGAGAATTTGTCTCTGCAGCCATCTAGGAGTCTTCTATGTATTTAGAAATAAAGGACAACTGTTGTAGAACTATAAATCAATATGAAGAAACCCGAGGTATAAGTATGTGCATAGCTTAATTAGCTGGTCTTTCTTCAGTGACTTATTTGGAAAATATAGATATTGTGTGTGTGTGTGTTTACTTTCCTGTACAGACTGACCGTCAAGTGTTTTTGACACCTTTCAATTTTCAGCTGCCCCTCATTGGGTCCTGTAGGGCCACTTCTATGAATACATTCTGCCAACTTACTGCCAACTGCATGGCTAACAACCTCTTCTTTCTTTTATTGCCACTCTCTACTGCCTATAGATCATGCATTCTGCTTGTTTTTATTGGCAGATCCAAAATGGTTCAATGTCATAACATCTGCACTGCAATTTTTGGACACTAGATAACCAGAAGCAGCCCTCTTATAACATGTACCAAAAACATTGCACATGAAATTCAGCACCCGTTATTTGTAATCTTTGAAGATTAGCCCCTTCATATCCTCAGAGAAAATACAATTGTGCTTTTCAGGAAACTTTTTATCTCATTCAGCATAGGAATCCCTGGGCTACACACACAACTGCACTTTACTACAGCAGGTACATCTGACCTGTTCCCCTTGCCATTTGGTTTTTCTTATGTTTAATACAGGAAGTACTCCTTGATCAGTGCTCACCTAAGTTCTGGTGTGCATGCTGTGTTTAATCAAACCCAATGTCAGTTGTTGCAGATGGCCGTTTACCCTGACCCGGTCCTGCTGAAAGTTTCTTCCTGTTAAAGGGAGTACTGTCTTTTTTTTACATGCATGCTCATTATGCAGGACTGCTGCACAGTTAGAAACTGTATGGAAACATCTGTCCTCTGTCAATATTTGCTCATTTCAGAAAAAAATTGCTGCAAATAATACAATCAGGCAATATTCCTTTAGCAGCTGAAATAATAAAACATAACCTGAATGCATTGCTTATTAATAAAGACCAATGTAACAGATACTGAATCTGTTTTTAGGGATGCACAGAATTGGTAGAATATATTTATAAATATATGAATTTTATTATTAAATTAAATTGAATAATTTTAACATAATCGATATTTTGATGAATATTCTTACTTTAATTTATCTACACTATGTCATCGTTTTAGAGAATATGCTGATATTCAAAAACACATTATTTGCCAGCACTAAACCCACATATAGACAACTGTCAGATCCAAATTTTGACTTTTATAATAAGTGTTATTAAAGATAAATCTGCAGATTCCTTCAACAAGCTCTATTAAACCCTGTGAAATTCTTTAACAAGGTCGATGAAATCTCCCTCTCTCTGCATTGAGACCTTCTCTGATTGTGTGTTCAGCTGAATATACGTCTTTGATTTGCTTCCCTCTCCACTTCACTGACCTCAAAATGCTGCATCAGGAAGAACACATAGTCGCCATTCATCAGACCCTGACGCTCAGCCTCCAGCAGCAGGGCTATGGAGTCCTCTCTGTTTGTTACCACCACAATAACTAGGGAAGAAATTTTAAAGAGTTTTACTTTACAGAAAAACAAATGCTACCGTTGATGGTTTCTCTCAAACTAAACTATTAATAATAAATGGGAGATAGCTAAAGTAAAATTTGTAAGATAATACCTTTACAAATGAAAGGAAATTAAGAACTATATATATATATATATTTTAAATTACTGATGTGAATGGTTATTGAACATTTAACCTAAATGAACATGACAAAAAAGTTTAAATGTGTTGCGGATAAAGGTTCAAAAACATATATTTGAATAAAGCCAAAACTACTGCAGGGGAAATTTGTGAAAATACTCCATAAAAGGATACGTAAAATGTACAGCTGGAATTATACAAGAACATACTTAATGACATTAACAAAAAGTTAAGGATTGAGGCGCAACTTTTTGAATTTTAAAAGAGGTGGAAAGGCATTTGCTTACATATATTTTCTGTGTTTTGAACATAGAGTTCAGGTTTTACTAAAAATCCACATTATATCCAAAGTTGTGCATTCAGTTTTGTTGATAGAGTTCTGCATTAGATTCATTGCTGCACATATGAGTGCACATACACCTGCTTTACCTCTGGCGACTGTTGAGATGTATTTGACGTTCTGATAAAGGAGATCAGGATTGCTGGTGTCAAACTTTAGTTCTGCAGTTAATTTGAAATTAGCCCTGAGCAGGTTCTCCACCGTGTTCCACAAAGCGTCCACTTTGTCCCAGGTGTTTGTCTTCAACCCCCCTCCGATCATTGCCACATGACTCCACCCAAAGAACTCCAGGGTTTTCGCCAGAACCTCTGAGCCCCGATTCAGAGGCGGCATGATTTTGATGTAGGAATCGTACATTACTCTGTCTTCCAGTTTAGAAGACTGGCCCACAAAGCCAAACATGGGAATGTGCCACGCAGATGCAATGAGACCTGTGACCTAAAAAAGTGTAAAAAAAAATGGAGCAGTTAAGTCATATGTCATGTCACAGCCTTCCTAAGGATTGATGCTATTAAATCTTACATTTTCTTCAAAGACCATGATTCATATTGTCCCGCATTCTATATAACCCTACCTAACTAAAAACAACAGCCAATGTTTTTTGTCAGTTGTGTTTGTTCTGTGGCTGAGTATTTCATAAAAGGATTTTAGTTTATATACCTGAATATTTGACAGACAGAGTTGAACTGTACTCAATAAAAACACCAATCTATAGTCTTCTATTATACATAATAAAAAAGATATGTAATATCAATAATTACATGTTAACATATATTTTTTGTTTGCATAAAATGCAATACAAGTATTTGGTATTTTAAAGAATTATTAAGCATTTTTATATTTTAACATTATTCACTGAGCCTCCAATTTTAATTATTAGTGTGGAAAAATGTAAATATTATTACTATATCTTTCCTTTAAGCAATAAATTATGTTAGGACTTTAGAAACATATACTTGGTTCTTTTTATAGTCAGCATTAAGAAAAAAAATAAGGTCACACCTGCAGAATGACCCACATAAAGTTTTTTTTTTCCTTCTTTGGGGTTTGATTAAGATAAGTGACAAAATATAAAAGAAAATAATTAAACATATCTAAGAAATAAAGCTTTATTATTTTTTTTTATTCCATCAATATGAACAAGAGTATACTCAATAACACATTTGGATCACTTATCTAAAAATTATAAAGAAAAAAAACCCTTCATGAATGTTTTGCTTGAAAACATAAAACGATAAAGAGGATAAAAATGATCTAAGTCTTACCTCTGCCTCCTCAGGACACACTGGTCCAAACAAAGCTGTCACATTTTCTCTCCACACTTGATGGATGAATCCTCCCAGGGACTCTTTAGGATTACAGTCAGTGTCCTTGTACACAAAATCAAGACTGTAGTTTCCCAAGAAGGAGGGATTGTTGTTCACCTTCTCCACGGCTATCTGAATGGCCGAGCCCAGCCGCAGCGCGCTGTAAGGGAAGGACACGTTCCAGGGAGCCTGGAAGCCAATCAGCAGCTTGTGATTTGGAGATCCATTGCTGCTGCTGTTTTGGATGATCATGGCGGCAGCAGTGGTAAAAAGTGTGAGGTGGTGGAACAATGCGTGGTTCATGCTGGAGATATGGACCTGCTGTCATCCTATTGGATTCTGGACAAAGAGGGTTTAAGTACTCAACTACCTCTGTGATGCTGGACAATTGTTTAGGGAGGAGAAAATGTAAATATGTGGAGGAAAGTAGGAGGTACATATGTCAAACCAAGATAAACTGTTGAGAGAGTATTTGTACTCACTGGTTAGAAAAAAATGTTGGAAAAGGGATGAGGAGCAGTTTTGATGGACAAAGAAAAGAAATGGAAATGTACTAAGAAGTAAAAGGGCAATCAGTGGATTGAAGAAGTACAGCTGCATCTCAGTGAATTAGAACGTCATTAAATTGATTAGAAGGGCTGAGCCTAGATTTATGTCTCTAGGGCAGCAGTTTGCAACCTGCATCCGTGGAGCCACAAGTGGCTCTTTAGACCATTCGGAGTGGCTCTTAATAACTCTGGATATAAACTGAAAAAGAAGAGAAAAATCTTCCATCCATCCTTTTTCCACTAATTCATCAGGGTCATGGCGAGTGCTGGTTTTTATCTCCAGCAGTCTATAGCGAAACTAGGTAAACCATGGACAGGTCGCCAGTCTATCGAAGGACAGTATCCATCTATTGTTTGGCTAAAATCGTATTTATCTTTAGTTTAAAACATAAAAATAATAACATTTTGACATCATTAGAAACGAAAACTTGATATGATGATATTAATAAAATAATATAAGTTTCCTTTTTTCAAAAGGTCATGTAACTTTGTTTGCTATTAACGTACAAAATAAAAGACTTGATATGATAGATATTAATAAAAAAATATAAGTTGAAAAAAAAACAGTATGCTAATTTTCTGAGAAGCTGAATTTAGTGTTTTCTAAACCTATAACCATAATCGGTGGCAGTTCTGGACCAATTTTTGTTTTTATGGGGTCACATATTAACAGAATAACACAAAAAACAGGGCAGAGACACATTGTTTAGTCACAAGAAATCACAAGAAATGAAAGCTTGAAATATTTTACTCTGTGTAATGAATCTATAACAAAATTGTTGTTCTTTCTGAAATGACTGTAACAAAAACACTGCACTTTCCTTATTATTTTATTTTTTTTAGATGTACTCATTCTACCTCGATTCATGCCTTTTTCAATTGCATTTATGTAATTTTGTTATTTCCTAAAAGATCTGAACTTTACTGTATCTCTTCATTAGAAGACATTGAAGCTAGTGATTAGTTTAAATGAAAAAACATGTAAATTTGCAGCAATAAACACCAAATATAATCATGTGTGATGGATCTTTATACTTTAAATTGCCTTTTCTTAAACTGATTTACTAAAATTAACCAACTATAAAATGATATTTTTCTTATGGAGCAGTGCATGCTCTTTAAAAATTCTGATTTCTGAAAATGAGACAGAAGAAAGAAATCTAAAGCCACTCATGAGGAGCAGGAGGTTTAATGAGAAATGAATTATGAAAAGGATAACTGTTAAAGAGCAGTTGGAAGGTAAACCTCTGTCCCTGACTTGAGTCTTTTGCTGCGTCTAAAAGGTTTTCCTCCCAGATTTCCCCGTATTTAACTCTACCTATCTTCCCATTAATTTAACAGCATAATGCTGCAATTATTTTTACTACAAACAGAACTTCTCTTGGTCCTATTTTACCAAAACACACTACTTTACAAGTTTGCTGGGTACCCTTCTTTATTTGTGATGATTGTGCTATCCTGTGATGATTCATGATTTTAACTATAATTTGAACCTCTAATGGGTGTTTTTTTTTTTGCTACTCTTCCATATTGCCCAATTTGTAGTGTCCACAATTTGATATTTTCCTGTTAACCGATTTTCATGTGCAGTGGATCTCTTCAACAATGTATTCGGTTCCTGTTTGTTACTTTCCAGGAAATTATAATAGCCTAATGTTATCTTTGGTATTATTTTTACTCTCACAGAGTTTTCCTATGATACTTCCACCTGTTGCCAAACACAGAACTGCATCACTCTTCTGCATGTTCTCGTACCTCACACTTAACAATGCTGTTGTCACGGTCTTGGTTCTGTTAAGTTTTCCTTTGAGTATTCAGTTTTACGTTGCTCAATGGTTTCTAGTTTTATTGGTTTAATTCCTATTTTGTTGTGATTTCTGGATATATTTGAGTTCTTAGTTTTTTCTTTGTTGCTCTCTTGTGTTGGTCTCTTTTTCCGTAGCTCCTTTCTAGAAGCTTCTGTTCACGTCTGCTCCCAATCAGCTCGTTAGTCCTGCCTTTGTTCAGTCAGCCATAAATACTCTCCCTGTGCAGGTCCTCAGTGCTGGTTCCTCGTCTTTCCCCGGCTCCTAGTGCTTGTTTTCCCCTGATGTCTCCATGGATCTGTTCTGTTCTGTTCTGTTCTGTTCTGTTCTGTTCTGTTCTGTTCTGTTCTGTTCTGTTCTGTTCTCTTCTCTTCTCTTCTCTTCTCTTCTCTTCTCTTCTGTTTTGTTTTACATTTTTATGCTGGATTTTTGGATTCCTGCCTCAGTTGCTTGTGAACATACAATTAAATTTCCAAGAACTCTCCTCTGCCTCCCTGCCTCTGCATTTGGCTGCTCAAAAGCTCAACCAAAACCTGACAGTTGTTTTATTTTACTCTCAGCTTTTGTGGATTTCAATGGTGTCTGAGTCGAAAATGATGCTACGATTGTTTGCTAAGTTGGACACATTTAAAGAAATAGTGGAGGATGTTCAGTTTCCGGTTGGATCATTAAAATAAGTGGTACTCCTAATTGTCAGTCATTCTGGTGATATGTTTACGTGAGGCCGTCCTACGTATCATCCCCATTTTTACTTACCGGTGGTGAGTCTGAAATGTAGGAAAAGTTGCAAATTCTTTTTTGGAAATTAAGCTTGTATAAGCAATGCAAACAGCAACTTTTAAACAGATCATGCACGAGGAAAAATGGGCTTGCGCATGCTCTTGCACGCTTTTAAGGGCGTTCCCTCTTGGGAGCGGGTACAGGATTGTGCATGTGCTCTTTTTTTAAAGTGGAGAGGGCGGGTCTTTTCAAAAATTTGTGAAAATCCTCCACTATACCTTTAACATGGGCATGCTTGATGTCATATTCTCAGAACAGCATGGGAACTTCTGACCAAAAGTATACTCAGGATAATAGGCGCTGAACTACTACAGTAAGGTGTCAGTCTGCTCATCAAACAATGTTTCAGTTGTAGAGGGACAAATGGGTTATTATAATGATGTTTTTCTGGAAAAGCCTACATAAAATCTCTTTGAGTAAACATAAATTTAGAAATTTCATTCTTAGTTATCCCATTGCTGGATCAAGGATTAAGAAACTTCACAGACACTTAAAAAAAAAGAATGTGGTACTTCACTTCATTAGGACATGATGGAAAAGTATTTACACCTTAAACTTCTTACATATTGTCATCCAACAGCAAAGTCCAACTAATATTACTGAGAAGTGTTTTGTCCAGTGGGGTCAGAACTAGGTACTGTAAAAACCAACTCTAACTGCCATTACAGACCTTTTGGGCTATTTTTACCAGCTGTACCCACAGGAGACTCATTTTGCATAATAACTCCAGTTCTTTCAGATCATGTGGGTTTTAATTGGCTATCAGTCTTGAATTTGACTTAGCCATTCTAACATATGAATATACTCTAATCCAAACAATTTTTCTGCTTTGGCTGTTTGGTTTTAGTCCTTCTGAGAATTTTTCTTCAAGGCTCTACATCTATCTCCATTCATCTTCGAAGTTACGAAGCATCTTTGTCCTTTTTTAGAAAGCACCCACATCAGGCCCATATCATAATGCTACAAACACTATGGTGTTTTAAAAACAAAAGTCAACAAGTTCAGAGATTTAAACAAAAGTGAAAGAATTCAAAGCAGCCTCAATTATCTGTAATTGTTTTAGTTGATATGTTTTTCTATGTACCCATCATTTAATTTAATGTATCTATGTTTATTATGTAACTTTGCTGCCTCCTGGCCTGGACTCCCTTAAAAAAGAGGTTTTTAATCTCAATGGGATTTTTTCCTCGTTAAATACAGCTTAAATGACTAAATAAAAATCAAGGGGTTGACCATGGGAACTTCACCTAAACCTGTAATTCCAGGAAAAACTGCTGTTGTACATAGCAAAATACTTAACAATTTTAAACTCTCTACTTCACAGCAGACTTTAATGTTCAAGATTACTGAGATACCCTGCAAAGTATATGTTTGCTGTATTTTTGCAAACTAAAACTGACATGCATTGGTTGCAAAAGCTGACTGCACTCCTGGTGAAAACTGCAGTGAATGGGATGGCTCCTCAAAACATTGCTGACCTCCTCCAGATTTACTCTTCGGCACGTGCTCTGAGGTCTGAGGGCCATCTTCAGTTAATAGTGCCTAAGACAAGGCTTAAAACCAGACAGAGATGGGAAGTAACAAAGTACAAATACTTTTTTTCTGATATTTTTACTTTACTTTACTACTTATTTTTATGGCGACTTTTTACTTCTACTCCTTACATTTTTACACAAATATCTGTACTTTCTACTCCTTACATTTTAAAAAATTGGCTCGTTACTTTAGTTTTGAATCATTTCAATGGAGTTACCGTTATTATTTTTCACGTCATCAATACCAAATTCAATCTAATTGGATGGGAATCTACGTTGCATTTGACGCACCACTACAAGATGAATCGACAGATTCGGCGGTATTCATTGGCGGCAAATCATTGCAGCTTGGTGGCGGTGGCGATAGCATAGTAGCATGGACGACGAGATGATTGAAAATGAACACAACGGAGATCTAGTCCTATTGGCAGACATCCATTTAAAATGTAGGCAACAGCATGAAAAAAGTGGTTTCTACTTTTACTTTTATACTTTAAGTAAATTTACAAGCCTGTACTTTGTTACTTTTACTTGAGTAAAGAAGTTTAATCAGTACTTTCACTTTTACCAGAGTATTTTTTAACACAAGTATCTGTACTTTTACTCAAGTACGGAAAGTGAGTACTTTTGCCATCTCTGAAACCAGAGGGGACAGAGCCTGTTCTGTAGTTGGACCCAGACTTTGGAATACTTTGCCCCTCCATATTTGAACAGCCTCCACAGTGGACTGTTTTAAGTCTTGTCTTAAGACCCACTTTTACTCTTTGGCTTTTAACACTGCATAATTGTGTGGCCCTCTTTGTCTTTTTCATTACTTATTCATTTAAAGCTCTTACTGCTTTTTTCTGTGTGTATTGGGTTTTTTGTTTGTTTTTATGTGCAGCACATTGGAAAAACATTTTTAATCTGCTATATAAAGTAGATTGGAATGCAGTTACCACATAATCCAAGCCAAAAATGTCTACTATGAAACTGGCTGATCATGAAACTCTTTCAAAAACAAACAACTGCGTTTTTTCCTGTTTATGGAAACATTTTTGTGTTAATATGTAAATCAAGTTTATCATATATTCTCACTCTTTAGGATTATTATTTTTTTTATGTATTTAACAGAATAACAGTTGTTTTATTTTTAACCCTTTAATATTAATACAATTGTTCATCATCATTCAACAGATCCCAAATCTATTTTATTACGAGGGATTAAACTTTTTGCATCATCAGATGAAATAGAAGATATTTAAAGGAGATAACGTTTAAATGACTTCATATCTACCAGAGGTCACTCCAAAGGTGGCAAGATTTTATCTATGGCTATCGCTGGCACCCATAAATCCAATCAGAGAGGCCATAATTGTCTCTTTTTACCTTAACAGAGACAAATTTCCACTCTAACTTTTAATGAAAAATAAATGAATGTGTAAAGGGTTATGGTCATCAAGGAGTGGCAGCAGAATAAATGAAAACATCACAAATAAGTAAAAACAGCAGAGAAGGTGAGAGTTGTTGCAAGTCCCCTGGGTGTGTTATCTGCAGAGAGTAGAGTTTGCAGGTTGAGCCTTGACCGGCACTGAGGAGCTGTCACACCTGTGTGCAGTTTGAGGCGCTAATGACAGCAGGCAGGCAGATTGTACATCTGGGGTGTTGCTGTCCTCAGCTGCTTTTTCTCAGGGGATCTCTGCTCAGCCTGATCCCAAACTGCTGCTTCTGGTAATGCTAATCCCACCAGGTAATAATCAACACTTTACAAACCAACTTTATAGTATAATGAGAATCAGCACCAAGCATTGCTTTGCAAAATCAGCACACAAAAGGTCGTAATGCATTCTTAAAAATCAGCTATAGCATAAAAGCATTTAACTCAAAGATCTTTTTCTTTGTTGATCTATTAAGTAAAAACTAATTTTAACTGTCTATTTTTTTTGTTTGTTTTTTTTCTTTTTTTTTTTTCCTTCTGTCCCATATTTGTTCTCTGGGAGTTCCAGATAGATCTGCATTTTCTTTTTCACCCTAATCTTATTGCAGATGTGCTCTTCAAACTTAAGATACTCATCGGGGCGATATCTGCTAACTGTTTTTGCTTTAAGGTGTTTATTAAGCTATAACATCAATGAGTGTCTTTTCAGATAGAACTGAACGTAACAGGAAACTGGGTGGCATATCACAGAGGCTCTAAACCATAAATGTTGTTACAGTTTCTAATAGTTGTGCGTGTGTGTGGGTTTTTTTTTTTTCTTTCCACTGCTTAGGATTTGAATTATTTGTACTTTGGACATGCTAAAGTGTAGATAAGGGTACTAATCTTTCATCAGGTGCAACTTCTTGATTTCTTCTTTTTTTCCTTTGTCATTAACTGATAAGTCTGTTTTATCTTTCTGTACTGCAATTAAGAAGGGGCAAGCAGAAAAACCCTCTGAAGTAACTTAATGAATTGCACAACCTTAATGCTGTGAACTACAAACCAAGATCCTTTTGTTGCTTTTATTCTTTTTATCAGTGTAGGTAATGGTGACCAAAGTTCAAAGATCCTAAGTCATCAGCTGTTTTATCTGCTTTTGTACTCCAGGCATTTCCCTCCCAGAGCAGAGCCAGAGGATCTGCAGTTTGCACTCACCGCACACCTGAGAGGGCTAGCAGCAGGTAGGTATTTCATCCAGAAATAAAGTTTTAATTTGGCCTCATTTAAGGGCTTTTTGTGTTAAACGGTTGCTTTAAATCATTTTTGTTGCCTGTTCTAAAACTGAATGTTTCAAGAGATCTGTGTGCTGCCACTTAATAGTTTTCTCTGAGCCGATGCATATTTGTCCAGTTTGAAAAATGTGTATTTGAAAATGCGTACAACAAAAGTTGGTCTTAATTCATTTACAAACTGACTTTAAACTCTATAAATTATTATTCAGTTGAGAATGAATTGGTATGTTGGTGCAAATTAAAAGTGGGAACCAAAGTGCGGCATGGTCATCTTCCACTGTGTTTGCATAAGCAATGCCTGCAAACCATGACCAAATGTCCTATGTGAAAACAAATCTTATCTTTTTTAGAGTACCGGTAGGTTATAAGAGTAACTTTTGCCTGATTAATGCAAACTTAAACATGGAGCTGCTGAGGCTACCATAAAAGCAGAACTCTGGAGATGTGTAAATATGGAGTAAGATGGCTGTCGATAAAGTGTATGCATCTACATTTCTAAGTGCAATTCGGTACACGAGATATGATTCAGAATTGTATTTGTTTTCAACAAATGCGCGTGACATCAGATATTTTGTGCAAGTTTAGAAGTTACAGTACAAGTACAAATCGAGTCACAAATTTAAAAAGATTAATCGTCAACTCCTGATTAAGCTGTTGCACCCCTCACCAGTTAGTGGCAATAATTTACCAGAAGGTTCTTTGCCAACCACAAATAAACCAGCAGAAGTTTAAAGGTGATTGGTGAACAATTTTCAGATATATTAATGCAACCAACTGGTTAGGAGTGTAAAATTGCTTAATCAGGGATGTAGTTTGGCATTTGTAAATTTGTGACTGGTAATTGTACTGCTGCAAAGTTTTAACTAGAATTCATGTCTTCTAAACTGGTATACTGGGTTAAATAGGAGAGGAGAGAAGAATTGTTTGAATTTTTCCTGCCTCAACTGTAACATGGATCCTCTTAAAGTGCTATTGAGCCTTTTTTTTCCTGAGATAAGTTCAGTTCTGTAAGGAATGTGACATTTTCACAATTTAGCTAAAGCCAGGGTCCAATAATGTGGCCAATGCTTTGACACACCTAGGGTGATGAAAATTTTACATTTCTCTAAAACCCATTAAAGGACAAGATGGAAACTGTTGGTAGCCTGCCAGGAACATAAAGGCAGAGCAGGGAAGATGGGATTCTTCTTAAAATGGCTTTGTCTGGCCTAGGTAGTGTTGGAAAACAGACTATTTTTCTTGCTTTAAAAAAAATATCCAGGCATTGATTAAAATCTTTCAAAACCATGTAAGACTGTTTTGATTTGACAAAAGGAAACAAGAACTATGGGCATATCTTGGACAAAGGCACTCGTCAACAGGAAAAAGAAAAAAATCTATCATCCCCACGGTGAAAGATGTTGGTGGTGGTAGAGGCAGAATATGGATTTGCTTGTCTTGGGATGGAAATGAGGCAATTGTCAAGGTAAAGGTAGTTAGAAAATTGTGGCAGATGCAAGAAAGTTTGAGCCTCAAATCTGTGGTTCTCTGTTAAAAAGCTAGAAGTGAAGAGAGATTTCATATTTTAGTCGCATGACCACAAGAAAACATCAAAACTAAGACAAGAATGAAGTTTTTGGACAGTCGAGTGTTAATCTGAAGGAAATCTGCGAGGGTCGCCTAAAAGAGGGCTGTCGAATATTTGCTTTTTTTTTTTTCCCAAGGAAAACTGGAAAAGTCTAGATTTGGGATACTTGTACAAATGTAATCAGCTTGTCTTCTTCATTTTACCTATGTTTTGGGAATTTGTATTGAAAGGGTGTTTTATCACAATAACCTGACTTTTTATATAGAAGCTTTGGTTTCATATTAGAAGTTTGATATCTTGGTTCCTCTCATAGATCTACCACCCCAGCTCATCTTGCACCATGGACTTCATCTTCCAGTTGCTCTTCTCGCCTCTCCCGACCCCAGTGGTTTTCTCATTGATTGCTGTCGGTGTTGCCACCCTTTATTATCTTAATGCACGACCCAATCCGCTCCGCAGCCCAGCTGACCTCAACAACCAGACGCTTGGAGTTAAGGTGATATGTGCAGAAAGTTACTGTAGTCTTATGATTTAATATTGTGGTAATTTTAATGAGAGATTTTCTTAGAAGTCACTTAAAAATCTAAAACTTGGATGATTTCTGTTTTCAGGATGGAGCAAGAAAAAGTGCCTTGTTGGAAGACAACAACAACCTGATGTCATATCACTACAATGATGCAAAGACCCTTTATGAGGTTTTTCACAGGGGTCTGAGGGTCTCAGGTAATCAGTTTGTGTAACAATGGACAAGAAATTAGGCCACGTTTTGTACCATCATCTAAAAATTATAAACGTGTTAAGATTCTGTTAATCTGATCAAACTTGAAATAAAAGTATGCCAGAAAAGACGGTTGGTAGCTAGAAAAGCTGCATTGCATGTTATTGATTTTGAAAAGGAACTAATGAGGTCAGACAAGAATCCACTTGTGGTCAAATGATCTGGCAAGACCAAAATATGGTGCCTAGTTAAGCAGAGTGTGAAGTCTTGTGAAAGCACTGGTACATGAGATGACATAAAGTCCATCTTATTTTACAGGTAATGGAGCATGTTTGGGCTACAGAAAGCCTGGAAGGCCTTACCAGTGGCTGAAGTACAAACAGGTACAGTCAAATGGTTTAAAAGGACCATGATTTATTTTCTTGACATTAACAGAGAAGAAATACAAATATCTGATCTCATAATTAGTCTACAGATTTTGAGGAAATGAGTAGTCTACTTTAATAAATGCATTCTAATAAGAATTATACGTATCTAAATGATGTAAAGAAGAGGTCACGGATTAGCGGACCGCAGTCCGGATCCGGAGCCACCTGCTGGCTAATCTGGACCCAACCTGTTTTAAAACATTTATAAATTACCGCATCTTGTCCGATGCACCTTGATATGTGCTTGAGAATGGCCTTGTCACCATTTAAACTCTGGTTTAAAAGCCTTGTAGTGCAGCCTAAATCCCACTGCTCCCATTAAGCCATAAAAAAAGGGGGAAGAAAAAAAATAAACGGTCAGTTCAGGTGTTTTATAAAGGATGTGAATCAGGAAATTGTTTTTATACCAAACTGAACGATTGCTCTCTACTACATTCAAAAAACACTTTGAATTTTTTTTATTAAAAATTATATGTTAAAAAATTATTTCCATTTTAAAATTTTACGTATAACATGGAGACATAAAAACCAATTTTTATTTCAGTGTTACATTCAGTTTAAAGTAACAGATTATAATTAAAACTGTCTCCGGACCTTTGCTGGTTGATTTTTCTTTATTTGGACCCTGCTAATTTTTAATTGGTTACCCCTGATGTAAAGTGTATTCAATATATGTTCTTCTTGGAGAAAGTTCAATCTTTTTCAAACCTGGACTTTTGAATATGACCTTGTAGCAACAACTGAGATTTGTATTTTTTATATGTGCTTAAATTATAATTGTAATCGCCATTAAAGAAGTTGTGCATAAATGCTCTTATCTTTTTCACCTGAAGGTATCTGACAGGGCACAGCATCTGGGGTCAGGACTTCTTCACAAAGGTTTAAAGCCCAACTCTGAGACATTCATTGGCATCTTTGCTCAGAACAGACCTGAGGTAGTATTTCATTTAATATAAAATATCTTGTTTGCTTTTTTTCCCGGTTAACATTTTTCTAACTTCTGCTGTCTCACAAACTTTCAGTGGATTATTGGTGAGCTGGCATGTTACACCTACTCCATGGTAGCAGTCCCCCTGTACGACACTCTGGGTCCTGAGGCTCTGGTCTTTATTATCAACCAAGGTAATTGGAGCTTTACTCTCTAATGATGCTAATTGCAGAGACCATAAGAAGTTCAGCAAATTTGCTCCCAAAGGTGTCTGAGGGATTTAAATCAAATCTTCTCTTCATCAGTAAATTGGTTTGACTTTGTCTAAACTTATACTTGTGTAAATTTGCAGAAGAAAAGCGTGGTTTAAGGGCAGCCTTAACACAAATATGCACATATTTTCTTCCCTAAGCTGAGATCTCTACAGTGCTCTGTGACAACCAGAAGAAAGCAGAAGCCCTGCTGCTGAACCATGAAAAAGGCCAAACCTCAGTTCTCAAAATGGTTGTGCTCATGGACTCTTTCAGCCCTGAGCTGATTGAGCGAGGAAAGAAGTGTGGGGTGGACATTGTGTCTATGGAGGAATTGGAGGTAATGAACCGCTAAAACCCAACGTACCTTATTAGAAATCACTTGACATTAACCTTTTTTTTTTTTTTCCTGAAACTTCAGGGACTGGGAAAAGGTAATCTTCAAAAGCCACTTGTAAGTCATGTTTTTTCCCGTCCCGAAATATTTCTAATGTGTTAAACTGCAAACTCTGAGGTACTGATTTCATTTCCAAATAGCCCCCAAAGCCAGAGGACCTCTGTATCGTTTGCTTCACCAGTGGGACGACAGGTGATTATCTACTCTATAGTTTGCAGAAATTTTAGACTGTTATGTCTAATACCCCAGACGTTCCTTTGAAACACACAACTGGCTGTTTATTGTGAAAAGCTCCCTTCAAAAGTCCAAAAAACTTTTGAAGGGAGTCTAAGATTTTTTTTTTACAACTTTTAGAAGGTTAAAAGTTAAGCTAATGCTAAAGGCATGATTTTTGCTTCTCAGAAGAAATGTAGAACTGATTTAGTTAATCATGACTTTCTGGCCTTTTTTTATTTTTCCTAAAGGAAACCCAAAGGGTGCGATGTTGACGCATGAAAATGTTGTTGCTGATGCTGCAGCTGTCCTCAGAACCTTCGAGGTACAAGCAAATACACCTGTATCCACGTTAAGGCATTCATTCTTATTCCTTTTTTTCCATTCAGTTTGATTTGTGTCATTTGGCCCTTTCAGACATCCTTAGTTCCATCTCCTGAGGATATCAGCATTTCTTTTCTGCCTTTAGCACACATGTTTGAGAGGATTGTACAGGTAAGTAGAGGGATTCTGTTGAGATCAAATTCCTGTTCAGGATGTGTGGGAGAGTGTTGGATGAGTTTTCCTGAATGTTTCAGACAGTGGTTTATGGTGCTGGGGCCAAGGTGGGGTTCTTCCAGGGGGACATTCGGCTGCTGCCAGATGACATGAAAACTCTACAGCCCACAGTTTTCCCAGTGGTGCCTCGACTCCTTAATCGAATCTATGACAAAGTTGGTAGACTGCTAAAACAGCTGGGCTTACATTTTTCTTTTTTTTAAATGAATGGAGGTTTTGTTACTACAGCTCTCCATCTCTGCTGCCAGGTTCAAAGTGGAGCCACAACTCCCTTTAAAAAATGGCTGCTTAACTTTGCTGCTGAGATGAAATATGCTGAGGTGAAGGACGGCATCATCAGGAAAAACAGTATATGGGATAAGCTAATTTTCAACAAAGTCCAGGTATGGTCTCTTGAAATGTATACAATCTAAACCCAAAGACTGAATTACTAATTTTTAACTCTCCAATCCCAGGCTAATTTTATTGAAACATTTTCTGAACAGATTTTACATTTTACTTCCCAATAGTATTATCACTTAAGGTGCTTTGCACACCTGATATAAATGTGCAAACTTTGATTGCAGTCCCCCATTTCAAATTGAGGACTATTATTCCCTGCATATCTAAGATTTGATTGGGGGTGTGTACAAGTTCAGTAGTGCAGCAAAGACATACCTGTGTATGGCAATGTTATTTCGGAGGGACCCAACATGTTCCAGGGCCTGAAGGGATAATATAGCGCCTCTGCCACATTATGGGTCAGCCTGCAGGTCTTCTTGGGGTTAGAATTTGCCATCACAGGAAAACATCCAGGAATCTTTTGGATCAAACGACCTTGACTAACTTCTTTAATGCATAAGAGCAATCTCAGTTATAAGCTCCTTGCCGTATGTGGCTCAGGTTCACATGCTCTGTATGCTCCATTAACTGTTTGTAACCAATAAAATGGTAAATGGCATGTACCTGTAACCTGACTCCGCCAGATGGATTTGCTGGATTTGCTCCGCATATCCATCTGGAAACCTTCCGTTGAAGTAATTGTGGGAAGAGGTGAAAATACTGGTTAGCTGATTGGCCTATGTTGGTGATAGACGGGCCAAACAAACCAATCAGATCAACGAAGCATATGACGTACTAACAGAGCGACGACGAAGAGGAGCCAATTGATAGATCAAACTCTTGCCGAAACCAGTCGGGAGAAGAGCAAAAACATCTTTTCCTCTGAGAAAAGATTCCAGAGCAGTGTTTTGCTCTTCTTTCAGTGAAGAAATACTGTGTAGCCTAATTTCAATAAAACTTGCTCGATAGCCACGCTAACGCTAGTTTCATTGGCTGAAGCCGCCATGTTCTTTAGACTGAACTGTCGCGCTTCTCGTTGCGTCACACCTCAACCCGCCTCAAAGCCAACGCTGATTGGACGTTCGTTTGGTGAACTGCTCCAAATTTTCTTTAACGGAAAGTAGCCAGACTGATCTGCGAGTGAAACCTTGAAAGCTCGCGAGATCAGGATGGTCTCACGAGGCTAATGTACCTGGGGCTCACTGACAGAAGCGAGGCTGCGATACACCGGTGCCACCAGCCCATCAGACCCCCATTAGTAGGCAATGCATTTGAAGTGTCTAGCCCAATGACACAACACTGAAAGTCTTAGCTGAGGCTTGAACTTACAACCCTCCGGTTGCAGAGCAAACGTCTAAATCCAACGCCACCGTCTCCCCCAAACCACTACTCAGGTAGTTGATTGTTTGCAATTAACTGTAACTTCATTTGATGCATTTAAGATCTGTTCATGCATTCAGACGGCACCTGTGCTTATTTTTGAAATGTAGTAGATCCGTCTAAGTTTTCCTTTCTGTCTTCTTCTCTGACTCGGTAGGTCTTTAGAAAAGGGTGTTTGGCTGCATTATTCATGATAAATTGACCTCGTCCCTCTGTGTTGCAGACAGAAGGCGTTCGGTCATTGCATCAAGGAAATACTTATTATAGTTTTATTTTTCATAGAACAGAATAGAATTGGATCTGGACAGAGGTGGAAAAAGTGAATTTGGGCAATTCGTTTGCTCTCTGGGGAGGCCTTTTAAAAGTGCGAATTTGACAGGAAAACCAAAAGGCTGCTGTATACTAGTTTGCATTACGTAAATGTAAAATGCTTTGGGGTGTTTGGTTGTAATATGGTATCCCAGCTGCTTTTGGAGTGACTGCGCTTTTAGGTCAGAGGTGTGTGGCATGCGGAGGGCAGTCTGTGTTTACTATGGTGCCATTTTCAAAAAGTTCTTTAGGGGGACTATAGTGGGACTCAACATACTTGGTGCTGCTTTAGCTTTTGCTGTCAGGACATTAAGGCTTAATTTAAAGGAAACTTCTTTACCATAACTACAAAGACGATGTACAGATCTTTTTAATGGTGGCAGTACCAGGATTTTTTTTTTAAATCACATCGTTGGTTTTAAGCAACAAAGGTTTAACTGCTACTAACTTCAGTTTATAAGACTTTAGAAAAACAAAATTACTTTTGAACTTTTTTATGATTACAATTTACTTCACTTTTTAAAAAACTAAGGCTTTGATAAAACTCCCTCTTAGGGACTGTGTATTGGTCACTCTTGTCCTTCAATGGTCACATAAGATCCTGTGCTTCAAAACATGCTAATGTTAACTAGACAGATTTTTCATTGACTTGTATTCTTTTTGTTTTAAGGTTTTGTCATTTTAGTTCTCTTTTTTTATGCAAAGAACCTTGCTTAATATATTGTGGAATTTGCTTTTATAAATGAACTGTTTTACACAGTGACTGTAAACATGTCCTACCTTATTCAGGAGTCTCTGGGGGGCCGTGTCCGGATCATGGTGACCGGAGCTGCACCCATATCACCATCTGTTCTTAGCTTCCTCAGGGCCGTTCTGGGCTGCCAGGTGATAAACCCTCTTAATCTTCTTGGTGTACTCGATGACTAATTATGAATGCTTTGTCTCTCTTTAAGAATATTCATCTTACTATTCTACTTACTTGCGGATCCCTTAAAAAAACCACACTTTTCTTTGCTTTTTTTTTATTTTTTTCTCCCAAATTACCTTGTGGGAATATTTAGTTTTTGCCAGAACAGCTATTGGTAAAAAAAAAAATATTTGCAGTTGTTGTTGATATTGATAACTTTCAAATTTATTTCCACAAGTTGCAACTTTATTAATGGCCATTTAGTTGCTTTTTTCCCCCTAGTCTCCACAGCTTGGAACCAGCTGTATGAAAGGTTTGGTCTTGCAATAAAGTCTTTTTGTAAAGTAGTCTGTCAACACATGCTAGTTATTCTACATTTGAACAGATTATTTATACATATTCATTTATGAAAGATGTTTAAATAAACAATGTTACAGGAAAGGCTAACTCTGGAGGGTTTTAACCTTTTTAGAAATTTTAAAGGGGCTTCTTATAAAGTGATAGTGATGTTGGTTTTTGGAAAGGAACAATTGCTTAAAATTGACTACAGATGTTTCTTCTTCTTTGTGATTCTCTCAGATCTTTGAAGGATACGGTCAGACAGAGTGTGCAGCAGCCTGCACTTTCACCTTACCCGGAGATGCAACCTCTGGTATGCAGCTGGTGCAAACTATAACACAAGACCACCTGTTTCTATACGCTTTACCAAGTTTGAGATTTATTTGTAATGTTGACAAAAGGGTCATATTTGAGATGAGATTGAAAAGGCTGAGCAGGTTGCAAAAAATAGAAAATTCCCTTTTCATTTCAGGTCATGTTGGTGTGCCCCTGCCTTGTAATTTGGTGAAGTTGGTTGATGTGGAGGAAATGAACTACTTTGCTTCAAATGGGGAAGGAGAGGTAGGCTGAACAAACTCTCAAACTGGTTAGCATGGCTTTGCAGAACAGTAAAGAATCACAGTTCTTGCTTTCCACTTGAATAATGAGCCAGCAACTTGAATCCTGATTTATAACTTTCAGTTCACATGTACTTAAAAGAAAGCCAGGCTGATCTCTTCTGGTTCCTTGCATGGCTAAGTGAGTCCACTATTATCACTTAAGGGCCCATAACTTGCATTCTATTGATGCAGACGTTGTGAAGCAGGCTACATTGGGTGCAGAGTGTATGCCCTGAGAATTTCCTACTGTATAAAACATATAATTATATAAATTATTGCTTAGCTGCGCAATTCCAATGCCTCTACTTGGAATGTGTCATATGTATTTTCTGCTTTGAAAACGACTCTTTAAATTTGGCCTATTTTTTCTTTTCTCCCCACAGGTGTGCATTAAGGGCACAAATGTATTCAAGGGCTACTTGAAGGACCCGGAAAAGACTGCAGAGGCCTTGGATAAGAATGGTTGGCTCCATACTGGTGATATCGGCAAATGGCTTCCGGTAAAATGCAATTGATTTGTTTTACCATCTAAACGGTGTCTTGCAAAGATATTCATACCCCTTGAGGTTTTCCACTTTTCTGTTGAGTTAAAACCCATCACTTGATTATCTTTGAGATTTTATGAGATAGACCAACAACAAGTAAAGGATGACTGGAATGAGAAAGATGCATGGTGTGTTTGCTGATCCTCACTTTGTCTGCTTAGGATGCAAATACTTAGTAAATAATAGTACTTAAAAAGAACTTAGTTGTTGCTAAAGCTCTTATTTCAGTTCCTATCTGGTTATCTCTCTGCATAATTGAAGATTCCAACCCAGATTACAAATGTACTATGTCCTACAAGCATCAACCTCGGTACTTTTTCTTCGGGTACAGTTAGTAATTGGTCATCTCTATCATCTGTGTCTAATTTGGTTCTATAAATGCTATTTGACACTACTAGGTCAACCATTCCAATAATAGAATCACATGCCACTCCTTGTATACATTTAAAACAATGCAAGATCTTTTATTCAAAGGTTATGTACGGTACAATAGATTTTTTTTTTTTTTTTTAAGTATCTTCCCAACTCCAATAAACCAGATTGTATCACTTTAGAAGTGGCAGGATAAATTATTTCAGTTATAACAAACCAGTTAATATTTCTTATGTCATGGGATTTTTTTTTTTTCTCTCTTTTACACCAGAGCGGTGTCTTGAAGATTATTGACCGAAAGAAGAACATCTTCAAGCTGGCTCAGGGGGAGTACATTGCCCCAGAGAAGATCGAGAATGTTTATGTCCGCAGTGGACTTGTGGCTCAGGTGTTTGTGCATGGTGACAGTTTGCAGGTAACATTTTTTCCCCTCATGCGCCTTTCAAAGTTTGTTTAATCAAATAAAAAAAAATCTAAATAACCGTTCTATTCCCTGTGCAGTCCTGCCTGATTGCTATTGTGGTCCCTGACGCTGACACCATGCCAGGTATTGCAAAATCTCTCGGCATCCAGGGCTCCATTGAAGAACTCTGCAAGAACACAGTAGGTTTATGTGTGAAACGTGTAGGACGTCTCCCCTCTGGAGTTTTAGACTCATGACCGAAGTCAAGAATTTTCAGGGAACATGATCATTAATACTAAATGCTGCCAGTTGGTGAATTCTGCAAGCTTGCTGTAAAACTCATTAACTAAATATCTGCAAATAACATTTGAACAGAGGTCTGTAGACGGAGACATGTTCAACTGAATGACTAAGAATAACTTATTCTTTTCAGGATATTAAAAAGGCCATAATTGCAGATATGACCAAACTGGGAAGAGAAGCTGGTCTAAAGTCTTTTGAGCAGGTAAAGACTGAACATTTTTCTGTCATAGCAGATGGGGATTCAATTATTTAATGTCTCTGTTGTGAATGATTTGGTTATTTCCATTGAATGTACAGGTTAAAAACTCTGACGCTCTTCTTGTGATCCATGTGTTTGAGGTTTAAATATTCTTGTATTGTCTCTGCAGGTGAAAGATGTACATCTTCACCCAGAGCTCTTCACTATCGAGAATGGCCTGTTGACTCCCACCCTGAAAGCAAAGAGGCTTGAGCTGAAAGCTCTCTTCCAGCCACAAATCGACAAACTTTATGCCAACATACAATAAATTAACAAGCAGATAAAAATTTTGGTCTTGAGCCTTTTCTTTTACAGCTGGTTCAGCTTCTCTATTTACCACCGATTTAAAACAAATCTCTGCTTAAGACGCTTTACAAAATGGATGACAACAGAACAGGTGGCGTTTACATTATTTGGTCCATTCAGATTTGAATTGCATAAGAATTTGACTTTGTCCCTGTTATAAAATAATTACAAATGTCCTAATCTTTAAACCAAGAAGCCTACAGAGCCACAAAATATTAAATATGGCTAAACTAAAAGGCATAAAAAGCTTAGTCATTTATAGGATTTAAACCCTGGTGCCGTTTTCTAAATGCTGGTTTAGGTCAATCGTTTTGATTTATAATCTTCACTCAAACTCAAATCTGGGGTTCTGAAATAGTTTAGAGTTTAGGCTTAAATCTTTTTACTTTTAATTATCCCGTCTTTTTACTCCAACTCAACTTGTAAAAGGTTGAAAATGCATATTAAACTGCCAAGTTTTAAGGAAGTCAAACATTTTTAAGCCAACACTGCCACCATGTGTTCAAATTCTGTACAGATTAACTTTGTTGAAGCTTAAGGTCTCTGTGACAAGGAGGAAATGACTGACTTGATTTTTTTGCACTAAAAACCTCCCCCCTCTTCAGTTTTTACCATCCTCATCTTCTCATTCTCTGCACAACGGGACACAGATGAAAGCATTAGAATGATTTAACTACATTAAAAAGCTTACTGGGCTGGTTTTAACTATTAAATGTGGATCTCTTGGCTTTCTGTAAGGCAGGTAAAATAATTCACTTTGCATATATGCATGTGGTTTTTTCACACCACCTACGGAAAAGGATTAGGGCCACTGGGGGGGAAAAGTTAACTGATTTTTAAATTTTATTTCAGTTTGGTATGGGGAATTCTGACTTTAATCTCAGAATTTTGACGTTAAACTCAGAATTCTAACTGAATTCTGACAATAAAAAGTCAGAATTCTGACTTTTTTTTCCCCATACTAAACTGAAATAAAATGTCAAAATCAGTTGACTTGTTTTGTTTTGTTTTTTTGTCCCCCCCCCCAGTGGCCCTAATCCTCTTCCGTACACCTCAAATCAATAATGAACCCTGCAACATTTTACAGGACATCCTTTTTAAATCTATCCATTACTGATATTTTTTCCCCCTATTAAAGCAACACAGAATAATGCAAAAAATTTTTATTTTTTATTTTTTTTTTTTGTATTCTGCACAAACCAGGTAACTGGTCACAACAAGATGCCAGACTTGTTAAAAGTTAAGGCATTTTAAAGCTTCAGCCCCTCAATTTATGGATTTGACACCAAATTTGGCTACATTTCAGTGAGTTTACTTTGCATTATATATATAAAAAAATTGGGTTAAATACAGTACAAATAACAGTTATTGTTAAGAATTACTGGCATAGTGTGCAGGGTTCAGCTTTTCAGCGTAGAAAATGTTTTGGATCTGACAGAGATTAAGACTTTGTGTCAAATGCCCCAAAGAAATGGTGACTTAGGAAATGGCGTAACTGATGCAATGGGAAAATATTGAAAAGATGCAGGTTATTTTATCAGGCATGCAGTTCACTTTTCTTAAGATAGTCGTTGATTCTGCAACTTAAAGGACCTATTTTATGCAAAATCCTTCTAAAATGATATTCAAATTCATGTTTTTTTTTTGGGAAGGATTTTATTTATTTTTTTTGTGAGGGTATGCACAAGAATTAGACCTGTGTATGTATATTCATGTAGATGTAGGTTTTAACACTTTTTCCATGGTTCATTTACCGTTGTTTCCTCATTTTTTACACAAAAGGTGAAAAACCTAAGCAAAACACTTTCTGACAGACAGCAGGTAAGTCTGTGGCTTGATCTGAATTCCTGAAATTATTAAGTAGACTTAAATTTGAACTTCCCGGTGCAAGTGCATCAGTGGGCACCATAAGTACTATCAGAATAGTACTGGCAGCAGTGGTGTTCAGACTTTTTGAAAGGCATGGTGCAGCCTGCTTGATTGGACACTCAATGAATGGGCCATGGCACCTCGCTATGATAAACTGCTGACAAATCTGACCTTCAGAGGATGCACCCAGTAAGAAAAATGCCTACCTTATGGAGTTGAACAAAAATATGCAGCATGCAAATGTACACGCCTTCATGTGTTCGGGTTTTTTAAGGAACAACCTCAGCCATTTGTTACATTTGGACAACTTTTTTTTTTTTTTTGGAAGGCTATAGTCCCAGTTTGATCATTCATGTTTTTGAAGGCTGCCTGGATTCAGTACCACAGTCTGTAGCTAATCTCTCTCCTTGGATTGAGTTCTACTGTGGACCCTGTGAAAGGTAAAGGGAGAAAGTTTCAGGTATTCAAATTGAGCCCCTGATTGTTGGGCTGTCTGCTTTTGATGGAATAGTGATAGGAGAGATGTTAGCTTGGGGGACTAATGTTAGCTGCCTTTCATGAATGATGTAAATCAAAGAGAAATAATAAAAAAAAAACCTAAAAAATGACACTTTGACACTGTCAAAACAAGTTTTAACTGCAGCAGAACACTAAAACATGCATTTTAATATGGAAAAGTAAAATATTTTAAACTTCAAAGTACTTCTTAGTTCTGATGGTAATGTTTGAAAACTTGCTGGTTACTCTCAGAAAGTAGGTTACTATAAACCTGCCGGTCACATTCTATAAATCCTAACACCTTGGACATTAGGGTGGCTTTTTGAAACATTTTACATTTCAAAAAATGAAGGCTTATTCAGAAACCTCCAAAATAGAAGGCTCCAGGAACAAAAAAAACCCAAAACAGTTTGCATACCTTTTTTATAGATGTCAAAAGACTTGAATATATTTCCATATAAATACTAACATGATTTCTAAATTAAACAAATAATGCACAAATCAATGTTGCAGTAAAGGTGTAAGAATATATGTCCATCAGTGTATACTTTTATGTCCGGACTAGAATGAGGGGTTGGAATATAGCTGCGTTGTCCTCTAAAGAAAACACCCAGAGCTGGCTAAAAACTCACAAACCCATGTAGGGGGAAACATTATGGCCAAAATAAATCAAACTTGTGCTTTAGGAAGTTTGTCACAAAATCAAAACTAATCATAAGACTGTGAAAGATTGTAATGGGGACAGCATATAATCACTTCATTAGCTGTTATATGCCGTTAGCTAACATATCTCGCAAATATTTAAATCTCATATTTAAGAGTAAGATTCAGGCTATATTTAGATTTAAAATAAACTTATTAGATATAAGATTAAGATATGATATAGCTTTAATTTAGAAATAAATTTAACATTCATATAAAGGATAAAATAGATTAAACAAATTAATATTTAGCTTTAAATTCAATGTTTTTGTTTGCCACTATGCATGAGAAAGAGCCTAACATTTAAGGTGTGTTTTTAAAAAAAAAATGTAAAAACTGTTTGTAGTTCTACATTCTACTCTATTGTTTTGTGTCTGTGGGTGTGTGTGCATTGAATATGCATCTAGGCCAACATCATGTGGTTGCTCCCCCCAAAAGAAATAAAATAAAATGAAAAGGTGTGAATGGCAATGGTAACATGAAAATGCTCCTATATAAATATTTAGTCCTTGTTGTAAAGGGATTAAAATTCAAACCAGTCTTTATCAAAGCAAACTTTATTCCTTTGGATATGGAAACAGGTAATTACACTATAATAACCCTCTCAACATATCTAGTCAGTATTTGTGCTCCAACAGGATCCTTCAGAAAAGGACACCCACTCTTGAGCAAAAGTAGGAAATAGTCAAAACTATCAATACTCAAATGCTGTATGTAGATACAATGATATGGGATGGTGTTGGTTAATTCATTGTACACATAATGTATACATTAATTTTAGGTTGTTTATTTTCACATTAAAATGTTGTCAAATTGTGTTAAACTTTGGGTTATTCTGTTGGAAAGTTCAGCTGTGAACAGCTGAGATACAATTTGTGGAGCTGCTTAAAGGGAATATGGAGGACCAACTCGGCCATATTTAAAAAAAAATACAGAAACAAATAAATAATAAATGCTCAATAAATAAATAAGCATACAATTATTGCCCCCCAAAATACCAACCAATAGGCAGAAGTTGACCCTCTAAGACACACCCCTCCTTATTTGCATAATGAAGCAGAAATGCAAACATATGTAAAAACGACAGGCAGAAATAAATAGCATTGAAGAAATATATATGGTCAAAAATACAAAGAAAGAAGAATACAAAAATATTACACATAAATAAATACTTAAAAAAGAAGTAATAAATAAAGTTGAAGAATTATTAAAATAGCAAATAAATAAAACAGCTAATTAAAAGAGATTCATACATTTGTCTCACTGTATATTTTAATTTCTACCTACATTTATTAGTTTATTGTATTTTGGGGGCAATAAATTGTATTCCTATTTATTTATCGAGCATTTATTTATTTGTGTATTCATTTTTTAATATGGCAGAGTTGGTCCTCCATAGATTCTGGACGCGTCCTTTCAATGTATTCATTTTAACCCAAAAGAACAACTCTGCCCCCTAGCGGCGGGTTTCCTCCTCACCTTAAAGTTCGGCGGAGTCGCTCCTCCGAGCAGCTGCGGTAACAGTACACTCCCCCCCCGGTTTACCTGGAGTTTCCAGCGGCGCAAAAAACTCCGCTGTCCCCCGGAATACTGATCCATCTCTGAGGGTAGCACACCGCGGGTTGGTCCGAGAGGGTGGATCTGCTACAGATGCTTCACCCTCTTTTGAGTTTCCACTGTGGATCTTTTACAGCGTGTGGATCTGTGGAAAAAAAACTCACCTGAGAGCAGCAGCTGCAGAGCGCACTACTTTTTCTCCAACATGGCCTCTTCCGCCACAGGTGACCGCGAGGAGCAGGTAAGAGATTTAGTGTTTTCTTGACCCCGAAAGGAGCAAATTGTATGTTTTCCCCCCCGCTAACACTTTGGTTTAATTCAGGGAAGCCACATTTT